GGTAGAAATGTTAAAAAACAGCGAGTTTCACACTAAAATATCCATATTTATAAAATGTGCTTAAAACACAAGTTATGTTCTTCTACTATAATGCTGAAGTTTAATTAGACCAAGAAAAATAAAACAATTATCATTGTTAATGTAATACGAAGTTAGATATCATCAATATACGATATCAAGTTTAAAAAAATAACTAATTAATAATAATATTCTAAGGCATATATAATTCTTTTAAAAGTTAATACGTTTTTAAACCAGGTAAGTTTATATTTTTATAATTGTTTTAAATAAAAATTCCCCTACTTGAAGATTGTAGATTCTTGAAATAAAAAACAAACTTACGAAATACATTCTTAAGTTTGCAACCAATAATTTTCTGGGTTTTACTTTATAAATTTCTTTGTTCAACCGATGTACTTCAATATATCTCAGGTTATTTACAGAAAAACAGCCTATTTTATAGTGTACATTAATGATAAAAGATTTTAAAAACATCTTCACAATAATTTTTTTTTAATACTATCAATACACACACACACACATATATATATATATATATTAATCCCATTCTGAAAATTTACTATTCTGTATTCTTTATTCTACTATGAAATTCACTTGAGCAACAGATGGATGCTTTGGTCAAAAAGTAATTTTTATTTTTTTACTTGAGCTTTTGAAAATAAAACCTCAATTTAAGTTCTGTCTGGTAAACTTATGCACTAAAGACTAAACAAATGTAGCAGCTTTATTAACATAAAATTGAGAGAATTATTGAAAAATAAATCTGTAAAATATACTGAATAAGCTTGATACTGAAACGTTAAGTTTCTACCTTTCAAAAATCAGTCACTTTATATAAAGCATCTAAAAAATAAAAATTTAATTTTGTTTCAAACTTAACTGAATGATATTAAGAAATGTTTCAATGGTAATAATCACATGAAAGTTTCCACTATCCTAAAATAAGAAATCATAGTTATACCTGTGAGATGAAAACGGATCTGGTGAACAGATTTACCATACCCAATAGAAACATGGTGGACAGAATTGACATTAAAGATCCTGAAAATGTGTAACAAAAAAATATAAGGAAAACTAAGTAAAAAAAACAAACTTTTATTAACAAAAACAATATCAAATTTAACAGCTTTCATTTTTTTTTTTTACAATAATAAATTATCATTTCAAGTTCATTATCACAAGGTTTAAAATCCACCAATAAAACAAACTGATTTGTTTGAACAGAGTTGTTTAAACGTTTGTTTAACAACAAGTAAAAGCTTGGAATGGTCTATTCTTTCATTGGGGGGTGTGTCTGTGAACCAGACTAGTTTCGGAGAATTCCACTCCTCATCAGTGACCCCTTGACACTACCACCAATGAAACTTCAGACCAAACCAAGCCTTTCGATAGCGTAACGTGAGCTGCACGTTCCCCGAGTGATTTACAACTTATAATGGTGAGGATAGCAGTTAGACATGGTTCAAAGGGCAATAAAACTGTATAATGTTACGAACTTAGAGCTACTTAGGATAAACGAAAGTGGTTTCATGTTACAATTTATACTAGAAAGAAAAGAAGGTTAATTTAGGTTTATTTCAATTTTTT